CCTTTCCATACTGTACTCATTGGGAGGAAGTCACTATGCAATACTCATTCTTTTTTTTTTTTTTAACATATCTTATTGATTTTTTACAGACAGGAAGGGAGAGAGATAGAGAGTTAGAAACATCAATGAGAGAGAAACATCGATCAGCTGCCTCCTGCACACCTCCCCACTGAGGATGTGCCCGCAACCAAGGCACATGCCCTTGACCGGAATCGAACCTGGGACCCTTCAGTCCGCAGGCCGACGCCCTATCCACTGAGCCAAACCGGTTTTGGCAATACTCATTCTTAAGGAGTGGGGAGTTATGCTTCACCTCCTTGAGAGTATTTCTACAGAAATTATTGGGAATTTTTCTGCATGGGAGATTTAGGTCTAATATATTTTTTAAAAAAATATGTTTTTATTGGTTGCAGAGAGAGGAAGGAAGAGGGAGAGAGGGTAGAAACATCAATGATGAAAGAATCATTGATCGGCTGCCTCCTGCACGCCCCCTACTAGAGGTTGAGCCTGCAACCTGGGCATGTGCCCTGACTGGGAATTGAACCGTGACCTCCTGGTTTCATAGGTCGATGCTCAACCACTGAGCCCCGGTGGCCGGGCAAGGGGCCCGTGTTTTGATTTGCACTTGGCCTTGTAAATTTCATGGCCAGTCTGTCCCAGCAGTTTCACTCCTTGGTATGCCCAAGAAATTCTTGTATTATGGGTGTTGGGAGACCTGTTGAAAATGTTCATAGCAGCTGTTTCTGCAAAAAGCCAGAAACCCACTCAGCACAGATGAATCTGAGAAACAGAATACTGAGTAATGAAAAACATGATATAGCACACATACAGCAAAATTTTTTTTAAGTCTTTTCATGTTTTTTATTTTCATTATTTTCCTACTTTTCATAAAAAGATAAGCAAAATGAGCATTATTTACAATAGCCAAGATACAGAAGCAACCCAGTGCCTATCAATAGACGAGTGGATTAAAAAAAGTGGTGGTACATATATACAATGAAATATTACTTGGCCATAAAAAAGAATGAAACCTTACCATTTGTAACAGCATGATGGACCTAGTCCTAGAGGGTATTATGCTAAGTGAAATAAGTCAGTCAGAGAAAGAAAAATACCATATGATCTCACTTATATTGTGGAATGTAAACAACAAAAAGAACAAAATTGCAATAGATTCATAGAGAGCAAACTGGTGGTTGCCAGAGGAGAGGAGGGTTTGGAGGACTGGGTGAAAGCGTGAAGGGATTAAGAAGTAAAAATTGGTAGTTACAGAACAGTCATGGGGATTAGGTAAAGCACAGAGAATATAGTCAATAATATTGCAATAACTATGTATGGCATCAGTTCGGATCCTGGGAATACCAAGATATATGAATGTCTAACCACTATGCATACACCTGAAACCAATACAAAATAAAATTTTAAAAAAGACAAGCAAAATGTATAGGGAGATATACGTATGTGGCAAATCTATAGAGAAGTCATCTCTCAAGATGATGCAGATGGCGGGCTCTCAAAGGCGAACGCTATTGGCAAGACGATGTTTTGAGTTGGCTGGTGGGTCTGTAATTATTATGCTTCATATCTGATCTCTGACATTGATGCTCAATGTATTTATGTCAAATACTATACTTCATATTTTAAAAATGGAAGACCCCGCCCAGGTGTGCTATATTGTGGGGATCAGAAATGGATGGCATGAGGCAGGAGTGGGCAGCCTGCGCCTGTCAGCTTGGCTGAGCCTGAAGGCCAGGAGAGGCCACTGAGAACCAGCTTCGTGAAGTGAGGCTTCGATTCTCAAACATGATGCCACAGACATTGAATGTACCAAACTGCAGCCAGTGAAACACATCCATACAGTTCTGACTCTAAAACACATAGCTCTTATATTTACTCTGTCTCCTCTCCACTGACTGACTATACATTGTTTTAGTTGCTCTGGGCAAAAGGTGCCTTTCATTTCAAGAAGTTTTATTTTTAAATGATATTGCTAAACACTTACCTTGCTTATTTTGTTATTTTGCTCCATACTCAAAACCAAATCTTCATTTTCTCTCTTTTCCAAATTTTGTCATGTTGTCGTATTGCTTTTATAATTTAAGGAAGGAGGTAGGGGGCAGGGAGGAGAAGAGGAAGGAGGTAAAACAGGAGGAGGAGGTCTCCCCGGCCAGGATGACTAAGACAGTGGCCTAAGGAGGGGCCTGCCTGTGGTGGGCAGTGGCACCCCTAGGGGCCCCTGTGCTGTGCCTGGCAGACCCCAGTCCAGGGTCTTGACCTCTGGTGCAGACTTGCCTCCTTGCTGGCAGAGAACCCAGCTGATGTCCTGGCCCCCCAGGGGCCACTCAGTCCCTGCTTGCACAGTGTGCCCAGTCCTTCAGGCTTCCCCCTGCCCCCATCCAGTGGCTTCAGAGAGAATGCTCTTCTGGGCTCCTAGCTCTGTGGCAGTGGTGGGGGGTGGGGGGTGCGGAACCACCATCTGGCTCTAGTGATGAGGTTCAGACACATGAGGCGACTCATTAGCGAACAATCAAGACAGCATATACTTAAGACCAAGGATCTGCCCGGCAGATTCTGCGGGAGCTTTGAAGGAGGCAGAGGGGGCGAGGGAGGCAGAAGGCAGATGGGTGAGTAGGTGGGTTGGGGGAGGGGCATGTCTAGTTGGAAGCCCCAGCCCCCCCACCCCCCCAAATGATAGGATGGAGAGATCATGCCGCCTCCCTGGCAGTGTGGCCTGGAGGGTGGGAGACTGATGCCCAGGCTGCCTGGAGCAGGAGGGGGTGCTAAAAGCCCTCAGGGGTGATTTGGGAAGGACTATGAGAAATGAGGCTAACCAGCCTGAAAGTGGGCAAGAGGGTCCCACGGGCAAGGAGAGGGAGGGAGCGACACAGCAACACCCGGCTAGCTGGCCCCAACCAACCTGAAAGCCCAGGCCACCCCACCCTATGTTTTGGGGAGAAGTTCAGGTAGCATCCGGGGCCCTGGCTCGGCAGCTTCTGTGTGGAGTATTTTGGATGCTGTCCAAGTTCCCTCGGGGTCTGTATTCAGCCAGGAGCTCAAGGAAGAACTTCCCATTGGGCCACGGACCTGCTCTCTCCCGGGTGAGGGTTGTGCAGGCAGGGTCTCCATCCTCAGTGCCCAGGGACACCAAGGACTCCTGCGGGCTCCCCAGAGGCCTGGCCTCTCTCCTGCCACCCCTGCCCATGCCCACAGTGAATGTGACTTCCTGCTGCTGGGGGGTGGGGGGGTGGGCTGGGAGCCCCGGGATGCGAACCAGGCTGGGCAGGATAGCTAGCTGGGGAGGCAGGGCTCCCTCCAGAATTCAACTGCTCCCCTTCCAAGGAGATTTGTCGATGGTCCCCATTCACCCCAGGAGCTTCCAAACACCCTGGACACCCAGGGGAACCAGGAATCCGGAGGTGAGAGAAGGCAGAATTCAGGACTCGACACAGGTTTCAGACTCATGGTTTATTGACACTTGAGCACAACAGCCCTGGGAGGGGACTGCCTTTCTGGCCTCCCACCTGGCACTTGTCCCTATAGTCAGGTCAGGGCAAACAGACATCCTGTCTTGGAACCGCCCCCACTCCCCATCCGCCCCCCCCTCCCTCCACAGAACCTCACTGAAATGTGCACAGATAAATCCTTGGCAAGGCTGGCACAGCACGTGAATGGCAAAGCTCAGCGAATTTGGCAAAGTTGTGGAGCCTTGGAAAAGGCCCCCAGGCAGCTGCCCCTTTGGGCTACAGGCAGAATCAAACCAAATGGCTCATTTTGCACAAACCCACCTAGTTTCCGGTTAGCTGGCACGGGAGCCAGGCCTAGGAGCTGTCAGAACTGTGCCCCTGGCCCTGGGAATACTGCTGAGGTAGCTGGGGAAGGGGCAAGGCCAGGGACTACGTGTGGGCCAGGGAGGACAGGACGGGAGACAGGGCTATGGCCAAAGGCAGGGGGCAGCCAAAAGCTGACCCAGGACCTCAGTGAGCGCCCTGTTGTTCTCTCCCTAAAACACGCCCACTTCCTGGCCCTGGATGCTGAGCATAGGCTGGGCCAGGGAGGCTATGCAATCACCTTAGGGTTGGGAGTTTGACCAGCCGCCCTGGGAGCCCAGCTGTGCTGCCTCTCTCCCAGGCCCTCCCACTCAGCTGCCTGCCTCTCCCACCCCTGCTGGCTCTGGATCAGCTCTACCTGTAAAAGCAAGGCTGCAATTCTCCAGCTTTTGTATTCCTTATAAGGCGCTGGCATCAGTAGTTCAATTCTTTTCCAACCCACTTAATTTTAAGAATAGACACTAGTAAAACTTATTCACCCCCTCCCTGCTGGCGGTGGGGGAAGGGCCCTCAGCCCTGGCAGCATCTCCCGGGGATGTGCTGGGTTCCCCCAAGTGCCCCCTGCACCTCCAGAATTCCTGGAGCTGCTGCAGACTCAGTGCAACCCTGTGCCCTACAAAGGGGAAACTGAGTCCCAGGGAAATGCAACGACTTACTCAGCTTGCACAGTAAGCTAGTGGCAAAGCTGGGACTTGAGAAGGGGACCAAGGTTTTCAGACCAGGGTCTCAGCCAGGGGCCCTCTTGGGACTGTGTCCTGAAGAGGAAGTGGGCCAGGATGCCCGGTGCTTGAAGATGCCCAGTGGCTCTCAGTGCAGCCCAGTCCAGATGGAAAAGACCTGCTCTGTGCCCAGGCGCTTGCATAGGCCAGTCCCCGAGCAGCGGGATAACGAGGACTCCCTGGGCTGACAGCCACACCAGACAGCAATGCCTTGCTCAGGGCCTGCTGGGGGTGAAGGGCTGACTCCAGCAGCCCGGCTCGGGGCTGGAGAGGTGTCAGGACGAGCCTGGAGAAATGTCCTGGTGGAGCCTCAGATCAGGGCACAGATCAGGCCACCAAGTGGTGGAATCCAGACTCCACGCTCTCAAGCTCCTCTCCTGGCAGCAATCAACGGAGTACGATGAGAAAGGAGAGAAAAACAAGCCCATTGCTCCCTCCCTCCCTCCCTCCCTCCCTCCCTCCCTCCATTAAGGTCATGCCCTCAGGATGCCAGGCTGGTAGTGGAGGGTGGGGCCACATCCAGCCTGCTGCCAGCCTTGTGCTGGGAGGGGCTGACGAGGAGGCTTCTGGCCCCCAGAAGACAGCGGGCCTTCAAGTTAAATGGGGTAACACATGGTCATGCTGGCTGCCAAACATTCTCCGGATTGCAGTGACCATGTTTAAGATGCTTTTTACCATGAGGCCCTGAGAGAGGCATTGGCTGCATGGCCTTAGCGTCTTCATCCTGCTGCGGGGGTGGGATAAGCTCAGAACCTGCGGGTGGCCCCATGGCTCCTTCCCTAAAACATCCTCTCATCCCCGCCACTTCCCCGGGACTCCCCTCAATGCCCCTGGGGTCAGGGGGCTCCCCAGGCAGATCTTCCTGGGGCTCTGCAGCTGTGGGTGGACTCAGAAGGCCTCTACAGGACTCCTGGCCTTGGGGACCCGGCACCAAGCTTCCTCCCACTGCCCCAGCCCCCAGGCAACCTTCTGTTGAAGCCTCAGTTAAGCGACTCACTGCCCCTCCCAGACTTGCCAGCCTCTGCCTGCAGCAGCCCTGCCCACCCCTGCAAGCCCAGGTCCTCCCACCGGACACCCATCTCCCCCTTGCCTGACCTCTGCCTGGAGCCCTCACCCAGCCCTGCCACCTTCAATCCACACAGCAGTTGTAGCGCCCACTTGATGTGGGCAAACGAAGTCCCCTGAGCTTCACCTTCCCAGGGCAGTCGGGGACCCGGGCGAGCTCTCTCACAGGCAGTCAAGGCAGCAGAGGCTGCCAGCTATTGGCAGGAAGAGGGGCATCAGTTGGGCGGGTGGGACAGACTCCCAGCCACATCCCTGCTGCCTCCAAACAGACCCACAGACTTGCCAGAGCCTCCAAGAATGTGTTACCGAATGAAACCCATCCAACTACCAACACACAAGACATTCTGGAACATTCCAAACAGCAGCAAGGGCGTGCCTGCTCACGGAGCTCGGGCCCCCAGCTTAGGGTCCAGCCAGATACCAAGTGGCAGGGCCAAGGAAGGTGGGGATCAGGGCCCCACGGAACAGCCCATGCTCTTAGGAACCACCTTGCTGACTGTCGGCGGCACATCTCAGAGAGGCAGAAAGAAGTCTGCAGGGAGGATTCTAGCCTAAACCACCCTGTGTAACAAAATAAATCCTGCTCTTGTGGAAACTTAACCATGCCTATTGGAACTCATCATAGGCCCGGCAGATCTAGCCTTCCCTAAAACCGTTTAAGGCACTTGAATGGCTTATTAACACTACCTGGAATGGTTTTTATTTCAATCTTGATTTAAGAAAAAAATTCAGTAATACTGCAAAAGAAGGTTCCCCTAAAAAACCAACAACAACCAATACGTAAGTTTCTAAGGATTAAAATAAATGCTAAGCTCTGCTTAAGTTATTTGACACAACAGGTCACTTTGGCACTGACAGAACAAAGACAAAACCGCAAATACTGCTTCAGAATTAGACTTTTCCCTGGAAAACAACAACAACACAAAAGACGAGTGCAGCATCTCTGAGCTTCCCCTGCCCCTTTGGGGGACGAGAGGGACCAGTGAGGCCAGGGCCACACATGTCCCGGCTGCCTTGGCGCAGGCGGGCGACCACTGCAGATGCAATCCTAGATCCTCTCCCGTCTGGGAAGCGAGCTTGGCCAGCTGAGCCCAGCCAGGTGCGTCTGCCGACGCGAGCCCTCCCAGCTGTGGCCTATGAGGAATGGAGAAAAAAACCTGCGCTGGGCGCCCAGGACGTGTTTGCAAAGACCCACGGCTCTGGGTCTGCCCAAGAGCCCCCCGCAGCGCGCCACTGCCCCGCACACACGCCGGTGTCTTTGGTCGGGCTGCAGCCAGTGACTGCGGCCTCTGGTTCCACCCCCACCTCCTGGGGATCAAGAGCCAGTCCAGTTCCCAGGTCATCTTCTCTCTGGCAAGGCTTCCTCTGTCCCACTGCCTGTCACGAGCAAGGTGTGAGACCCACGCCCCATGCGGTGCCACAGCCACCAGGAGGGACTGATGCAAGCAGCACAGGGGCTCAGGGATCCCAGGGAAAAGCACTGCTTGGGTGGTGCCGCCTGCCCACCCCTGCCTATTGGGTCCTTAGGCACCTGAGGGGAAGGGTCATAGGGTCATAGGGTGGGGACCCCGGGGCCCTGGGCCTCCTAGCTTCTCCATGGCGTGTTGTTCTCTGGCTCTGAGAGGGCAGAGGGCAAGTCCTGGCTTCTCCTGTCGGCCTGGGATTCCCCGGCCCCCTGGGCCCACCCCTCCAGCAGGTCTCGGGGGTCCCTGAGGAAGACCACCATGACCGTGATGTTGTCACGGGAGCCCCGCTCCCTGGCTGCGGCCACCAGCTCCTCGGCGACGTGCAGCCCGCTGCCCCGCTGCCTGGCCAGGTGGCTTTGCACAAGGCCGGCCACCTCCTGGTGGGAGACGACATCAAAGAAGCCATCACAGGCCAGCAGCAGGTAGTCCTCCGAGCCGGTAAGCTCCCGGGAGGCCACGTCTGCCTCTCCAGACACGTAGGGCTTCTGGAAGACATCCCCTGGGCATGGGAGAGAAGTGCCTGGAGTCAGAGGGCTGGCTGTCCATCTTGCCAGGCCTGGCCGCTATAGCTACCCCACGCTCACAGGCAAGGACACGGGGTGAAAAGACCACGTCCCATGGTGGGGATGTACCAGGTTTATTCTGGTGTTCCTCGGGGAAGAACCAGAACCCAGCAGGGCCAGAGTTCAGCTCCAACACACAGCTTTCTCACTCTCACTCCCCGGGCAGCGGGGCCCAGAGCGGGTGGCCCAGGACATCGCCTGGGCTACGGCCCTGGCCCTCCTGAGCTCCCGACAGCTCCCCTCAGACACCGGACAGGCACTCAACTGAGCTCGCTCCTCCTCCCCCACACCTGCTCCTCCAGTCTCCTCAGCTTGGAAGACAGCACCAGAACCTGAGGGTTCCCTCTGATTCTCACACCCCACATCTAAGCTGTTAGCAGGTCCTACTGGCTTTACCTTCAAAATGCAGCTCCACACCCCTCCTCTCCCCTCCCCTCTCTTCCCCTCCCCTCCCCTCCCCTCCCTTCTCTTCCCCTCCCCTCCCCTCTCTTCCCCTCCCCTCCCCTCCCTTCTCTTCCCCTCCCCTCCTCTCCCCTCCCCTCCCTTCCCCTTCTCTGGCCTCCTGGTTTGGACAGATCACACCTCACCCAGCCCCCTCAGAGCTTCCTGCCGCCCCCTTCTTCTGCTCTTGGCCTGACAGTCACTTGCCCAAGGAGCGTGAACTAAACCCCATCGTCCCTTATGCCCAGCTTCCCAGAGGTCCCCTCTCCTTGCAAGGGAGGCCTGCCCCACCTCCCTGCCCTGGTATGTCCAGAGACGCAAGGGCAGAAGCCACAAGGAGAAGGACTATAAAGAAGGCAACACATTTGGCAAGAGGGGGACGTTTCAGGAGGCTGGAGGGACAGAGGTCCCATCACAGGGCTTAGCAGGAAGGAGGTGACTCCTAAGTATCTGAAGAAGAGACATGGCTGTCGAGCCCCAGAGTGAGGCCTGGCAGCGACAGGCTGCTGAGAAAATAGAATGAGGTGGGTGGGGGAAGCTTATACTTCTGATTTTAAAAGACAGAAAAAAGAATCATCAGCATGAATAGGTGGGGGGGGGGGGGTAAATCTCACTTATGGACTATTTAAAACTTATCTCCCAGCTAACCAAGGGGAGCAGGGCCTAGATTTTTCTGAGGAAGTGTTTTAACGAAGAGATAATGACACATAACTCGAACCGCAGTTCTCTGTGCAACATGTCTGACAGTGACTTTCCCATCTCCCTTCAATCTGATTGACAGCACAGCCTTATCAATGGCAGGCACCTCTCCAGCACATGACACTGCCGCCCCAACAGCTGGGCCCAGAGGCCTAGCCCTGGGCGGCCTTTCTCTCGCCCCTCGCCTCCTTACCGATGGCTCTGGAGACGGCCAGGGTCCCGTTGACTCTCCAGCAGTCCATGTAAGACACGAAGCCGCCCAGCGCTTCGATGCGCTCCTTCTCGTCCTGCGGAAGACAGCCAGAGTGGGGGCCTCGGCGCTCCACGGGCCGGGCACCCGGCACTGCCAGCCGGGAGGAGGGGAGCTGGTTTCTAAGACAGCACTGGGAGCCACAGCTCTTGAAAGATGCCCAAATGAGGCATTAGTAACACAGTGAGAAATTATAAATAACCTCATCGTCCTCCAGATGCAGGAGCAGGAATGGCTAACCAGGTTATGGTGCGAATACCCACAGGCCACTCACAGCCACCGACCAACAGCCTGTCCCTGAGCAGCGTTTCGGGGCCCGGGAGATGCTCACGAGGCAACAGAAAGAGCGCGAGCCCAGGGTCAGACGGCGGGCCCCACGGCTGTCTCACTTTTCAGGCAGGACACTGTCCCTTCTCTGTAAGCTGCTGGGAGGACACCAAGCGTGTGTGACATGCGGCCACTTGGCAGGGCTGGATGAAACCTGAACCAGGCCCTGGAAAGCCCTGTGGCCCTGGGTCCTCATCCTTCTCCTCCACCCACAGACCCTGTCCGGCTCCCCAAAAGGCCGTGGTGCTCCAGGCCAAAGAGGACAGACAGGACAGAGGCCCAGTCCAGCTGTGAGTCCTGAAACTTCTTTGGTTCCATGAATTCCCCTGGAAGGAGGTTTTCAGACCTGAGCCTATTGCCCGGAGGTGGTAACAATAGTGTCTGCTGTTGGATGAGCCTGAGGCTTGGAAGGGGTGGAGCCAGGCCCAAGCATGGACATCTGTCCTTGCTCTTCGCCATGCTCCACTCTGCTGAGCTCAGGCAGTGTTTGGGAAATGCTGCCTGCAGAAAGCGCCCAGCGGGCCTCAGAGGAGGTGCTCAACTCCGAGCTTACGTGGGTGCAGCCGGTGGGTGCAGAACCGAGACCTCAAGCATAGGTTTGTATGTAGACCTAACCTGGGCCACATGTCATCGGGCTGCTTGTCTTGGGGTGGGAGGGTCCACCGGAGAGCAGACACTGGAGGACCTGGAGTGACAGAGAATACCTGCCCTTTCCTGGCTGTGTGCTTTGGACCAGTTACTTAACCTCTCTGGGCTTCAGTTCCCTCCTCTATACAATGGGGAGAGCATATGCAGGATGCTGAGCACAGGCTGTGAGGCTAAGGAACGCTGTCATTCCTGGCTGTTACGCAGTGCTCTCTACAAGCCACAAAAGAAAAGACAGTTCCACACAATTACATAAAATCAACACTTCACACGGAAAAGCCCATAAAGAAAGACAAAAGCATTTGCCAATTGCTGCACAGATAGGGAGCCAACCTCCCTAAAGTATATAAGATGCCTACCGATCAATAAGAAAAGAGCAACAGTTCAGGACAAAAATGGGCAAAAGTCAGGAAAGGTGACGGAAATGATCTCCAGCCTTGAAAAGATGCTATAGCTGGTTCCGTAACAGAAATGCAAAGTAAAGGAAGGCCTCTCACCTCTCAGACCGCAGGGCCCCGCACAGCCTGAGGGGGCAGCTTGCATATCTGTACACTCTGACCCAGCTATTGCACTTCTGGGGACGTGCCCTCTAGACGTCCCTGACCCTCAACAAGGAAATGCTGTCCTAAGCTATCTATGGCTGCCTTGCTTCTAGAACCAAAAGACTGAAAAAAACCCATGTCCATCGAGGAGGGATGGAAATGAATGGGACTCCACCAGCCCTGGGAGAGGGTGGGAGCACTTCATGTGTATGTACTGACGTGGAACACCCTCCAGGCGCATGAGTAGGTGAAAAAGCCAGAGCAGAGCAGCATGTGGGGCCTAGAGGCACCCCGAGATGTGCAAACTCTCGCTCTCCCGCCTCAGGAGACAGAACGGACACTTCGGTGAGACATGGTCTGAGTAGGAATAGTCATCCTTGCTTCCAGGGTGAGTGACCTCAGGGTCTCAGCGTAGCTTCTGCCTAAGGAAGCCCAGCATCACCTCCTCCTGCCCTCATTCCCAGAGCCCAGGTGGGCCACTCCTTGTCTGCAGGCATGACAAGACCCTGCACATGGACCCCACTTCTGGCTGCCTGCTGGGCACATAGCCCAGCTCTCCCCTGCAGCCCTGGGCTCCGTGTCGCTGTGACACTGGCTGTCCATGTGCCGAGCTTTAGGGGACCCCTGGCCACCAGAGTCAGACAGGGGAGCTCTCCCTGTGGAGGGGTGCCAAGGGTTTCCTGGGAAGACGGCCCAAGGTCCCGTTTACTTCCTCCTCTGTCCCAGCAACGCCTGGCCAGGGCTCCCTGACCATCTGCTTCCCGGGGTGTGGGTGGAAGGAGCCCCTCACCTGTCGCTCGGGTTTATGCGGCTCCATCATCTTCACCACCTGTCCCTGCTGCACCAGGACGACCTGGGAGTCCCCCAGCCAGGCGATGTGCAGGGTCTTTCCCGCGATGAGTGCACACACGCCTGTGGTTCCACTTTGCAGCCGCTGTGGGAGGAGAAGGCCGAGTGGGTGAGGGCGGGCCAGGCACCTGCCCCGCGGGCACACGCAGTCCGACGAAGAACTGTTGGAGGCGCGCTCAGAGAGAGGGAAGGGCTGCCGATGCACGGCGGCACCGTGATCACTTCCGTTCTGTGCGCAGAGCGTCTGATGATGGTGCAGCCCCCACCCCAAATCTCCTCACCAGCTGTGTCAACCGGGCCCCAGCTTCCCCACGTCTAAAGTGGACAGATCTCTGTACCGACCCCACAGGCTGCGGGAGAACCCACTGAAGAGAACACAGGTGAGGCGCGGCGTCGGGTTGAGGGGAGGACGGGCTCTTCCTTCGTTCACAAACAGATGCCTCGTCCCTGTGTGGCTCTAACTCCCGAGGAAGGAGCACTCCCAGCGGACACCAGCTCCTGCTGGGACCCTGCCCAGGAGAGCAAGGGCAAGTGTGGCTGCATATGAATCATGAGTTTTGTTTTCTTTTTTTTTTTTTCTTCTTTTTTTTAAAAAGTATATCTTATTGATTTTTTACAGAGAGGAAGGGAGAGGGATAGAGTTAGAAACATCGATGAGAGAGAAACATCGATCAGCTGCCTCCTGCACACCCCCTACTGGGTATGTGTCCGCAACCAAGGTACATGCCCTTGACCGGAATCGAACCTGGGACCCTTGAGTTCGCAGGCCGATGCTCTATCCACTGAGCCAAACCGGTTAGGGCTTGTTTTCTGTATTTTACTTTTCTTAAATATATTTTTATTGATTTCAGAGAGGAAGGGAGAGGGAGAGAGAGAAGCATCAATGATGAGAACCACTGATTGGCTGCCTCCTGCACGCCCCGCACTGGGGATCAAGCCCACAACCCAGGCATGTGCCCTGACTGGGCATCGAACCCTGACCTCCTGGTTCAGAGGTCAACACTCAACCCCTGAGCCACGCTGGCCGGGTTGTTTTCTGTATTTTATGATGATTTATACTTTATGATGATTGTGTTTTCTGTATTTTATGATCATTTGTATTGGCCTTGCTAAACCTGGAGAGAATGCCCCACTCCCCACCCCCTGGACCAGCTAATTCCCAAAGATATCAAACGTCTCCCCCAAGAGACCCTTTCATGCACAAGCCAGTGGGTCAGGAGCCCACGTCTTCAACCACTTGCTCTGCCTCTCACGCTGGGCCAGTGTTTCGCTGGCTCCGCTAGCTGGGGGCTGCCCCTGCGGCCCAGGGCCTGTAGAGGTGATTCCAACTATCCAATCCTGGGCTTGCTGTGACTTGCTGGCCCTGCCTCACCCATGCTTCCTGCAGAGGCCACAGTGGAGACCCTGGCCAGGCTCTCCTCTCTCCCTCTGCTTCCTGACCCACGTGGTGCTTCCCTTGTGGCACTGTGTGGCACAGTGCATCCTCGTGGGAACTGTAAGTAACGAACTCCTCTAAGTAATAAACTCTTCTTTCAGGACATGGTCTGTCATTCCACCATGCTTGAGTAAAACAAAATCCTGGGCCCGAGCCGGTTTGGTTCAGTGATTAGAGCATTGGCCCATGGACTGAAGGATCCCAGGTTAGATTCCGATCAAGGGCACAGTCAAGGTCAAGTACCTCAGTTGAAGGTTCAATCCCTGGTCCCGGTTGCTTGGGGCGTGTGTGGGAGGCAACCAATCAAAGTGTCTCTCTCACATCGATGTTTCTCTTTCCCCCTTTCTTTCACTCTCTGTAAAAAAATCTTTGGCCCTAACCAGTTTGGCTCAGCGGATAGAGCGTCGGCCTGCGGACTGAAGGGTCCCAGGTTCGATCCCGGTCAAGGGCATGTACCTTGGCTGCGGGCACATCCCCAGTAGTGGGTGAGCAGAAGGCAGCTGATGGATGTTTCTAACTCTCTATCCCTCTCCCTTCCTCTCTGTAAAAAAATCAATAAAATATATATTTAAAATCTATATTTTTTAAATCTTTGGAAAAAATATCCTCAGGTGAGGATTATAAAATAATAATAATAATAAGTAAATTAAACAAAACAAACCCCGAGCACAGCTTAACACTGCCGGCCTGTCTTCCCCACGAGGCTGCACGCCCTCCGCAGCGGGGCAGGTCCGCACGGCAGCAGGGCCAGGCTGCACCAGCGGCAAGCTTCATGTTGCTTCTATTCAAATTAAAAACAAGCCCCGTTGGCTGTAAGAACAAAGTGAGGTGACTGCCAGCAGCGTTTAGTGAGGACTCTCCAGCACCACTGAGCTTCTATCCCTCCGCAGGGCCGGGCCTCTCCGCAGCCAATGGCTCCTAGCCCCCCACCGCACAGGACCGGCCACCTGTCCTCACCTCCCGCTTGGCTTTCCAGAGGAACATCTCATCGGTGCGCCGGAAAGCTTCTCTGAGGGCTCCCTCGGGGCGTGTGGGCAGCTCCGGCTGGCGAGCAGCATTGGCGTGTACGTGCACAGCGGCATACCTCGCGGCATCCACTCCTCCGTGGCCGTCAAACACTGCAAAGTAGGCGCGATCCACGGGGTCCTGGTTGGGAAAGCAGCGGGAGTTACCGCCCTGCTGGCCTCATGCCTGGCCGAGGCTGTGACCCAGCCAAAGGCTCTCATCAGAGCTGGCTGGAGGGGTCAGGCGCTGTCTGGAGGGGTCAGGCGCTGGCTGGAGGGGTCAGGCGCTGGCTGGAGGGGTCAGGCGCTGGCTGGAGGGGTCAGGCGCTGGCTGGAGGGGTCAGGCGCTGGCTGGAGGGGTCAGGCGCTGACTGGAGGGGTCAGGCGCTGTCTGGAGGGGTCAGGCGCTGTCTGGAGGGGTCAGGCGCTGTCTGGAGGGGTCAGGCGCTGGCTGGAGGGGTCAGGCGCTAACTGGAGGGGTCAGGCGCTGTCTGGAGGGGTCAGGCGCTGTCTGGAGGGGTCAGGCGCTGTCTGGAGGGGTCAGGCGCTGGCTGGAGGGGTCAGGCGCTGGCTGGAGGGGTCAGGCGCTGGCTGGAGGGGTCAGGCGCTGGCTGGAGGGGTCAGGCGCTGACTGGAGGGGTCAGGCGCTGTCTGGAGGGGTCAGGCGCTGTCTGGAGGGGTCAGGCGCTGTCTGGAGGGGTCAGGCGCTGGCTGGAGGGGTCAGGCGCTAACTGGAGGGGTCAGGCGCTGTCTGGAGGGGTCAGGCGCTGTCTGGAGGGGTCAGGCGCTGACTACAAGGGTCAGGCGCTGGCTGGAAGGGCTTTGAGAGATGTCCAGCACCTCGGCCTGCAGACGGAAGCTGTAGGCATCACTCCTGCCTTGGTTCTGGTGGGAAGCTCTGCACGGCACCCAGAGTGGTTTCCCACCCCCACGCCCCTGTGCGAGCCCTCCTAGGCTGTCCTGGTTGGGGACGCTGGCCTCCCGAGCTGCCCTGGGGCCCGGGAGGTGGAGCCCTGGCGGTGGAGCACTCACGGACAGGCCAAAGAGCTGGTTGAAGGCAGGAAGGCACACATGCCGGTCCTCCATCCTGCGGCGAGTGTTCCGGATGGCGTGAATGGAGACCAGCCACTGCCGCTGTGGAGCCCGGGCAGTCGAGGGCACCTGCTTCTGCCACTGGCTGCAGACGTCCCAGAACCGGTTGAAGAAGCTCAGCGCCAGGCCCTTGGCATCCAGCACTGATGGGTAAGGTGGAGGGCTGTTAGGAAGCACCGGCGCAGGCCAGCCGACACTCTGCTCGCTCTCCCTGCCCCCCCTCCTGTGGCCTCTGCAGCTCTCCAGACAGCCCCGTCACAGGCCTGCACAGGCCTGTCCAGCCCAGCACCTCCGGGCACACAGGTGTGACAACCTGTGTCATCGGCAGCGAGAAGTGTCTGGGTCGGCCCCGTGGTGGAACACTTCCACTCATGGAGCCCCCCACCCAAGCAAATAGCCAGAAATGCAGGTGATTTAAGGGCAAAGGACAGAGTCACTTATAATTGCGCACTAATTAGAAACAATATATATTCACGGCGGAGTAAATTATGGTCTGTTCTCTTGGTGAGTTAAGCTGCTATTAAAAATGATTTTTGCAAATTAACATGTAATTGCCATTGACCCAGCGACTGCACCCCTGGGCATTGATCCCAGAGACATTAAGACGATGTTCACACACAACTTGTGCCTGACCGCTCACTGCTCATAGCCGCTTTACACGTGACAGGTGAAAACCGATTCGGCCCCGGTGTCCTTCCATGTGTGACCAGCTGAACAAACGTGGGTACCTCATGCCATGGAACACCGCCTGGCAGGAGGAAGGAAGGAGCTACCGACACGCACACAGAAGCCTGGGTGAATCGCCAGGGAGTTAAGCTGAATGAGAAGAGCCAATCCTCAAAAGGTACATACTGTGTGATTCCATTTATGTGCATTCTTGAGATGATAAAATTACAGAAATAGAGAAGATGAGTGGTTGTCAGGGGTTGTGCGGGGGGAGGGGTGTCAGGTCGGCATACATGGGAACAGGGATACAGGGAGTCTGGAGGGATGACATTTCAGTCGTTTGGTAAAGACGTTACCATTGGGAGGAACTGGGTAAAGGATGCCTGGGACCCTGATGTGTTATTTTTTATAACTGCATGTGAGGCTATGGTTCTCGCAAATAAAATTTAATTAAAAAAAACAAACACACACACACCAAAAAACTAAAGGGTAAAACAAAAATGGACTTTTACAGAGTTTGTAAAGCATGTAAAATGCTTATGTCATGATACTCAGAAAAAAAACACTGACATTAAGGAAAATGTTGTGAAAAAAGGAGGATAGAAAATTCCATATCGTGAGTACGTGAAAAAGTCTTCGACCACCTGAACCCAGAAATAAAAGGCAGGGAAGGCACACAGCCAACGCCAGCAGAGGCCGACTATGGGGGGTGGTTTATGGGTGATGCGTTTTCTTAAGTACATCTTTTTAGTGCTTTCCCAATTATCATTGCAAGTGTTAGTCCCAGGTGATGGCTTTCAAATACATCTATAAATGCTTCGAAACTACTCCCTGCAAGAGTGGGCAGAGCTCAGTTCCCCCCCTGAGTGTGTAACTCAGTGACCTGCTTCTGACGAAGATGATAAAACCCAAGTGACCATGAGTGGCTTCAGACCCTAGGTCCTGAGGGGCACTGCAGCTTCCACCCTGTGTGCCCTGTCTCCTCACTGTCACTCTCTCGGCCTCTCTCTGTTTCCCTTGTGAAGCACTGGCTCGGAGGGAAGCCAGCTGCCAGGGCACGAGGATGCTCAAGCAGCCCGGTGGCGAGTCCACATGGCGTGGAACTGAGACCTCCTGCCAACAGCCGTGAGACTGAACCACCCTGGAAGCACAGCCTCTGCCCGCACTGGCCTCCGTCTGACCTCGTGAGAGACCCTGGGCAGGAACCACCAGCTCAGTTACTCCCAAATGCCAGGCCCACAGAGACGATGGGATAATAAATGCCTATTGCTGGAAGTCACTCATTTTGGAGCAATGTTATGCAGCAACAGGTAACAGCACCTCCAACATAGATTTTAAAACAAAAATTCTAATCCTACCTGAGCCTGGCTCCAAAGAAAAAATGAACAAGGAGCAGGTCCCAAAGAGAACCTGAGGTGCTTCACCTCCGAGACTCAGTTCCTTCTGCTACACAAATCCCTCCTGAGACCCCTGCTGGCCCAGGGGCCGGGGGCAGGCACAGCTAAGAGGGTGGCCCCAGGGCCAGTAACGGGAAACAGGGCAGACTCAGGAGTGTCACAGGCCACACTCGAAGGATGTGGGGAGCTGGGGTAGAAACAGCTCGTGCCTCAAGGCAGTGGCTACTGAAGAAAAGAAGGGCTGAGGCCAGGGGACGATATGGCCGAGGAAATCCACACACTGGGGGTGCCTAGAACTGGCCACTGCCACCCCCTCCAGAACGTGGTGGCCACTCAGGCGTTTGTCAAGAACTGGGCTGTATCAGGTCTGAAACACCCAGGGAGACACAGAGCACCGTTTACCCTCTGGCCTTAGGTCACGCTAGTGTTTTCATCAACGTGTTTAAACTTGGATCTTGGCTCCAACAAAGGGCAGTTACCAGTAAGACTGATAAGCTGTGGGGAGGTCGCCTGGCCCCCACACTCGGGCTGCTCACGGGGCTGCCTGCTGTCCTGGCACCCACGGGGGCTGCTCACGGGGGGGCGCAGCTCACTGGGGTGCTCCGCCTGACCCTGTCGCACAGAGGTCTTGGTCACATCTCTGCCCTTGGGAGATGATTCTCATAACACCCACAGAGAGACCCTAACCCACAGGGACACCAGGCCTGCATGGGGGCAGGAGCCCCCAAGTGGAGGTCTCTGGAGCTGCCAGCCACTGTACTGCTCCTTCCCCGCCAACAGGTGGCGCTGACTTCCCGCCAGGACTCGGGCAAGGCGGGGCCTGCAGGCTTTGCAGAGGACAATGGCCGCCTGTCTCCCGTCCCTGGTGGGGACCAGCGGCGTTTGTGCTGGGATGGCTGAGGGCAGGGAACCTGGGAGAAGAGCAGGGGACCAGGACAGAAGGGCCCGGCGCCTACTGCAGGGACAGGCTGTCTGCTTTCCTCTCTTTTCCTGGCCCGTTCCTGGCTCTGCCCTCAGTGCTCCCACTGACGCTGAGACGGCCGGACACTACAGGCGTACCTGGTTTTATTATGCTTCGCTTTACTGTGTGCTTGACAAATGTTGCATTTTTTATAAACCGAAGGCAAGATCGCTCCCCAACCCCAGAAAAAGATTATGACTTGCTTTACAGCGGTGGCCTGGAACCGAATCCCCAGTATCTCGGAGGTATGCCTGTAATTAAGTGATGTGAGGGAGGTGCTAGTGAAAACACTAAATAAATGAACCAAATCAACACACTGTGCACCTTGAACTTACACCGTGTGACATGTCAATTATATCTCAATTAAAAATTAATAAAATAACACAGTCAGATAGGAAATGGCAAAGGAGGAAGAATCTGCTGGGGCTCCTGCTACGCCGACGGCCAGGCCCGGCCCCAGAACCCACTCCGTCTTCTGCATCCCGACCGGCCTTCAGCTCTGCCTGGGGCCGGAGCCGCACCTTTCACCAGAAAGCGTGGAGCCACCGAGAGCTGGCACCCAGCCTGGCCCCACCGCACAGCCGGCCACAGGCCACGGCCGAGCCACCCCTGCTTGCTGTAGTCCTGGTCTGACGCGAACGGATACTTTGGTGAAATGTGATAGGAAGGAATGATGGGAAAATGAAAGGAAGACATGCAAAACTGGAGCCCGCCTCTCCAGGAGAAGGCTCACTCTGTTTCTGGGTGGCTCTCACCGCATGGCTTGGGCCGCCCCGCTGACCGCCGTCCAGGAGCAGGCTGCCTCCCAAGCTCTCACCGGAACCCACTGCGTCTCCACTTGACAGGGTCGAGTCAGCCCAGGCCAGGGCCAAGCTCTGGCATTTTCTCTCTGCCGGACATCAAGGCTGCCTCTGGGAACCACTCCCACGTCACCACAGGGCGACTGACGTTGGTGAGGCAGAACAGAAGCGGGACCGAGAAGGGGGACCTTGGTGTCCTCCCCTGTAACACGGCCACACATCGTCCACCCTGGCTGTTTCGAAGCCCGGCGATGGCCGCTGTGCTCCCGGTGCTGCCGTCAGGCTGCGAGTGCTTTCTCTGCATCCTGATGCCCCTGCCCCGTCCGCGCACACCCACACGGCTGCCCCTTCGAGGCTCTCAGCCACGCGCTGCCACACTGCCTTCCCGCGAGCAAACGGGAAGTGCCGGAGGCCAGGTGAGCCCTGCCTTCTCCCACTCTGGTGCTCGCCGGCAGCCTGTCTCTCGTCTGGCTGGCAAGCCAGTTGCCTGCTAAGCCTGGGGTCCCCATAAGGAAGAGAACTCACAGGTCACGGGGGCCTTCTCCTCCTCCACTTCCTCGCTGTCCTCCTCCTCCTGCCTGGGCAGCTTCCTGAATTCGGAAAGGTCTGTCTGCAGCAGCTGGGAAACGGCTTCGTGGGCCAGAGATGCAGCAAGTGGCGGCGGAGCGTTCCTGGGACGGGAAAGAAGTGAACTGGGCTGGCTCCTCGGCGGAAGCCAACATCAGAAGGAGCCCTCGGGCCCCTTCCACGCAGGGAAACCCCTCTGGAGGTAGCAATGACTACTTGCACCCCAACCCGGGGCCACACAAGCAGGTCAAGCTCTTGTCCTTGGGGAGCCGACATCCACATGATGCCGCCAGTTCCTGGGGCCTGTGCTGCTCCAGACGTGGGCTGGGCCTGGGGGGGCGGGGGTGTCACAGACTTGTGGGCAGGGTCCACTGGCCTCCATGGCCAGGCCAGACAAACTGTTCAACATCCAGCCTGATGACAGGTGTCTGGTCACCAATACCAGCTGGGGACCTCTGGGAGTTGGGGAGCTTATGGGTTGAATTGTGGCCTTCAAAATTCACATATCGAGTTCTTATCACCAGTGCCTCAGAATGTGATCTTGTTTGGAAATAAGCTGGTTGCAGGTATAATTAGTTAAGATGAGGTCACCCTGGTGTAGGATAGGCCCCTAATCCAATAACATTGGTGTCCTTATCGAAAGGGGAAATTCGGACATAGACACACACGCACGCACGCACACACACAGAATGCTGTGAGGATGAAAGCAGGGACTGGAGTGATGAACCTACAAGCCAAGGGCGGCCAACAACCACCAGAAGGAACCAGCCTTGCTGGCACCTTGATCTTGGACTTCCAGCCTCCAGAACTGAGACAATACATTTCTGTTGGTGAAGGTGCCACGCCTGTGGTCCTTCATCACGGCCACCCGAGAACACAAATCTAGGGAGCGTGGGACCCTTGGGCTGTGCTTGGAAGGCTGGGCTTTGCATGGCCCAAGGGGTCCCTGGACCATCAGAGGAGCTGGTACAAGGGGAGTCTGGGGTAGGGAGGCAGGTGTCAGAAAATGGGGAGCTATGACCAGTGGGCTTTGAAGAGGGACGTGACATGATGGGACAGGCTTCTTTCTGGCCTCCCCCTTCAGGGTGGACTGAAGGGTAAATGCTGCAAGGAGGCCAAGGCCCTCGCTGAACAGCACCTGGCGGTGGACGGGAGGGGACAGAGCAGGCACTGAACAGGGGACTGGACAGGTTCCTTGTCCACAGTGAGTCTCCAGTTTGGCTGGGGTCAAGAGGCCTGGGGCCGGTGGGCATGAGGTCTGAACTGGAGATGGGGCCTCTAACTGAATGGGGGGAGGGCTCGAGCCTGAAGGAGCGCGCCTGGGCAGACAGCCGCTGGAGGGCCGGGATAGCTGGAGAGGTGGCTGCCAGGGCCGTGGAGGAAAAATTCTGGGAAGCAAGACTTGTTGAGTGCTCCGAAGATCCCAGCCAGGCCACCCAGAACAGAACTGCGGGGTCGGCGTGGGCAGGAGTGGGAAAGCAAGTGGAGGGAGGAGACGGGAGGTCGAGCTCAGGAGAAGAGGGACAGTAAGTGGCAGCTCCTAGGAAGCCGTGGGGATGAAGAGACGAGGCCACAAGTACACTCTCCCATGCCTCGCTCGCCTGCCCGCCCAGCCTCCAGCCTTGGGGCCAGCTTCCACACCATGTTCCTGGGAAGCCCTTCCTGGCTCCCCCAGGCACAGGGGTCACTACCCCTCGTACCCCACAGCCTTAAGAATACATCTTGTCCTAGCCAGTGCTCAGTGGTTAGAGCATCAGCCCAGGGACTGAAGGGTCCTGGGTTTGATTCCAGTCAAGGGCATGTACCTTGGTTGCAGGTTCGATCCCCTGGCCCCATTTGGGGCACATGCGGGAGGCAACCAATCGATGTTTCTCTCTCATATCAGTGTCTCTTTCTCTCTCTTCCCCCCAGCCTTCCACTGTCTCTAAAAATCAATGGGAAAAACAATCCTCGGGTGAGGATTAACGAAACAAAGTAAAGAATATATGCTGACCCCAGAATCTGCCTCCTCACCAGTGGGAGCCCCTTGCAGGCTGGAGGACGTGTGTTCACCGCCCCCCCACCCCACCCCACCCTGTGCCTTTCCCTGAGGACTGGGGACCCCGGTCCAGGGTGGACGGCCTGTGGTTCTCTGCTGGGCTGACAACACTGGGCTTCACCAGAGGGCAAGGACCTCCCACAGCCTGGGGACAGGTCATGTCCCTTTGGGGCTAGGCATCTGTGGTGTCTACAGATGACCTTAGGAATCTACTGGGATGAATGAGAGGGTGGCTCAGGGGGAGAAGCCTCTGGCACTGCCTTTGAAAAACAACCAGTCAAGACATGAGAAATGAGTTCCTCTGCTATTTGGGGATTTCCTGCCCACCACTGGGTTTTCCTTTTTCACAGCAGGGAGAGGGGCGGCTGTTCTCCTGTAGGTCGAGCTGTGTCTTCCTGCAGGCCCTCTGAAGTCCCAGTGCTGAGGCCACCGTGCTTCCGGCCATGGGGACCCAGACAATGCCTGGCTTCGGGCCACAGGCCTGCTTCCTGGATGCCTCTCCCGCCTCATCCAGGGGTCCCCGCCCACCACACTCTCAAGGCACTCAGGCCCCACGTCAGTCAGTTGGGGCTGCTGAAGGGGCCACAAGATGCAGTGAAGGGACCGGTGTGTGTGCAAGGCCCAGGGACCCGGCAAACGCTCTAGTCCCGCCCACCTCGGGATTTTCAGGGAGTTTCTAGTTTAGCAACAGAGACGAAAAGGCACATAAATAACACAGTGTAAGGTACACGCTGCTTGCGGACCTGAGATGCAACATGGAACTGCTAACAACGGGGGAAAGACAGGATATAAATGGTCACACCCTTGAACTCGGTCATCTGACTTCCAGTCAGTGTCGTGAAAGATACCACTTACAATCTGAACAAACTCCATGGACCAATATGCTCCGGCCCCGTTCTCCCAAGAGCCCGCCCGCTTGAGCTCCAGGAACGGGAGCCCCGGTGGGATGCTCCTGACAGTCACACGCAGTGTAGACAACGTGTAAACATCTGCATCTACACGGGAAAGAACAACTAGAAAAAGACAGAGACAACTAAAATAAACCCATTAAGATGGCTGGGAAATATAAGCTCTGTGGGACCGTGGGGGATGCTGGGATGGACATGGCCCAGAAGCCGGCCCACAACAGGGGCCTTTGTGCTCAGCGACCCAGGCTCCCACACAGCAGAGCGGGTTATTCTGCTGGGGGGCCGGGCGGGCGGGCGGAAATGGAGCCGACCTGTCACAGAGGAAGCACACAGAGGCCAGGGCCGGGTCCTGATTCTAGGAGTGATGCAGTGACTAGGGATGCTAGGTGTGGTCCCTCAAGGAAGGATGAGGGGTCACAGGCCATGAGCCTCCCCCTCTCCCCGCTGAGATCTGCTAACCTGGCTGTGCTCCCTTTCTGTGGCTCAGCTTCCTCGTCTGTGAAACGGGGGGAAGCGCCACCACACTGCTCTGTGGGGCAGCGTGGCCTGCATGCTGGGCACATGGCCAGGCCCTGCCTCAACATGGAGGCCCTGGCCAGTCTCCTAGCCCATCCGGCCTCTGTCTCCCCCTCTGTAAAACAGGACAGAAATAGGGCCTACTGCCTGGCACCGTCATGAGTTGAGTTGTGCCCTCCAAAGTGATATGCTGAAGTCCCAACCTGCAGTGGTTCACAGTGTGACCTTACTTGGAATCAGGGTCTTTGCAGGTCAGACCGGAGCAGGGTGGGCCCCACATCCAGTAGGACTGGCATCCTTACAAGAAGAGGATGTCCAGAAAGACAGGGAGAGGCGCCACGTGAAGACAGACATGTGGGAAGACGCCATGTGACAACGAAAGCCAGATTGGAGTGGTGTGTCTCCAGGCCAAGGCACACGAAGGAATGGATGACACCAGGAGCCAAGAGGAGGGTCTGGAGCAGATTCTTCCAGACGGCCTTTGCCTGAGAACATTCCCTCCTGACACACTCATCTCTGACTTCCAGCCTCCAGAGCCGAGACAATGCATTTGTGCTGCTCTAAGCCGCGCAGCCCGTGGTGCTTTGTCATGGCTGCCCTCGGAGACAACACCGCGTTGTCGCCGGGATTCGCACAGGGAACATGATCTGCACAGGGAAGGATGTGTGGGGTAAATGCCAGGCTCCAGGCTGGCCTGTGGCACACGCCGTGCCCCTTCCTCCTGTCCCATGCTGTCCCCTCCCGGTGGGTGCACGGCCTACCTGCTGCTCAGGAAGCCCACTGCCAACTCGGCCAGCTCGCCCTCCACCTCCTCCTGGCTCAGCACCGTCCCTGGGATCTTCCATGGCAAAGGGCTCTCTGCGCTCAGTGGGGCTGGGAAGTTGCGGAGAAACTCGTCCAGGAAGCTGGGGGTCTCCTCTGCCATCTGGCTGCTCTGCTCTGGGGCTCCAGAGGCCATGCCCAGATCATCCCGGGGGGCCTGCCGCCAGGGTTCCAGGCAGGCTGCACTCTAGGGAGAGACATAAGGGTCAGCAAAGACAGGAAGCATTTGGTGCCCTGCTGTGGGGTCTTCGGGCCCTGCAGTGCTGACTGCCAGGTCTCGGGCACCTCCGAGCATCATACAGCAGGTGCCACACCAAGCCCGGGGCTCACGGCAGAAGGGCAAGGCCACCCAGTTTCACACACAGCTCAGGGGGCCCAAGTAAGTGGAAGGCACAACCCTGGCTGGTCTGACCTCAGAGGGATGCGGGAAGCGGCTTCAGGAGACGGAGCCAGGAGCAGCAGCTGCATGGATGTCGGGGAGGAGGCTGCGTTACTGGCAGAGATGGCCAGCACGGCCAGTGGTGGGCAGGAGAGGGCACTAGGGCCAGGCCACTGAGGCAGGTGAATGTGGCAGGTGAGGGAGTTCAACTTGACCCAGGACCTGGGCACCCAGGAGGTGAGGAAGTGATGGCAGCAGGTCTGTGAGCCTAAAAGTGGTACCCAGAGGGGTGGGTGAAGGGTCACCTGTTGGGGAAGGAAGAAAAGGGCCTGGATAGGATGGTGGCAGAGCCCACATGCAGGGGAGAGCTGGCCCTGGGCTATTTCAGAAGGCACCAGGCTGTGGGGTGCCCGAGGGTGTGGGCAGGGGGGGAAGCAGAGGGTTAACCCAGGACCATCAGGGGAGTTTGGGATGCGGTCAAGCCATCAGGAGGAGTCCAGGCGTCCTGAGGCCCAGCTGGAAGACGGGCACAGGCCACGGACCCGACTGTCCCGGGCACAGCTCCAGCCTCAAGGGCTCTTCCTCCCGGCAACTTAGGAAGGCAGAGGGCTTACTAGCTGCCAGCCCCTGTGCGTTACCTGAACCACTCCTGGGAGCCAGGATGAGCCCCCATTTGAGCCCCCACTGAAGCTTGGGGAGGGGCAGCCCCCACTGAAGCTTGGGGAGGGGCAGACCTTTGCCCGAGAATAGATGATGGGGTCATGGGGGGATTCTGGAGCCCAAGCTCATCATCCCTCCCGTCCCTCACCCCACTTCTCTCACATCTGGAAGGTGTCACACACACCCATCTTTTATCCCAATGAGGGACTCCAGCCCCTCTCCCCCAGCTGAGAACCACCCTCTCCACCTCAAACCCAGCCCCTCTCTCCCCAGCCTGTCTGGCTCAGTTTGTATGCCAGCAAAGGCCCTGTCTGTCAGACAACCCAGGGCCCCAAGGGTCCACTGGACTCCCGCCTCCTACTCACAGCCCTCCAGGACCAAACAACCCCATAGTCTTCCATCCATTGCCCCTCGGGGTTAGCCTCTGCCCCCTCCCTTCATCATACACACACCTGGGTCGTCACCTCCCATGGCCACCTGCTCCCAACAGGCTCCTCACTCTTGCCCCTTCCTCTCCTCCTCTCCACAGCATCCAGGCTGGGAAACTTTCTTTGGGAGTGAATTCCACAAATTTATCCCCCAGAAAAATAGTATTTCTTTTTTCTTAATGTATTAATTTTGAGAGAGAGAGAGAGAGAGACATTGATGTGAGAAAGAAACACCGATTGGTTGCCTCCTGCACACGCCCAACCGGGGATTGAACCCACACCTGGTATGTGCCCTGGCCGGTATTTGAACCTGCTATCTTTCAGTGCACGGGGCGACACTCACACCAGCTGAGTCACACCAGCCTGGGCAAAAGTGAATTTTTAAAAGTAGACACACAGAAATTACGTAGGAATGGGGCCACGTGCGACAGGACACGGGGATGGACTCAAGTTCATTGTTATCCTTCCATTTGCTCATAAGTAGACGTGAATACAACGCAACCCCAGATTACAAAGGCAAAGGGTTAAAAGCTCAAGAATGTGAAATAGAGAAGGGAGACCACTGCATTACAGCCACCAGGGTAAGAAAGTTGGGGAGCCCTGTGGGCTGGCGAGGGTCAGCTTGGGAGGACAGCCAGCCAGGCCCCACCATGGCCACAGACACAAGAATCAAGCTGATGACAAGAGGACAGCAAGAATTTCCCAGCAGGCTTGGACACCCCTGGGCCGAAAAAGAGGCCTCCTCTGCATTCGAAGTTCTTGGCTCCTGCCTCTTAGAGAAGAGAACTGTAATGCAAAGCTGCCCCAAGCAACCCTGAGTGCCCCAGGTCGGGCTGGGAAAGGCTGAGCCCAGAAACAAATACTCCACAGGCGCTGAAATCTCAGGGTCCAAACAAAAAGGCAGCGTCCTCACTGACCTCCCCAGAAGGCACGGAGGGCCCCAGCTTGAGAACCCTGGCCCACGGGGTTCAAGGACAGAGTTCAAGGCCCTTCGCCTTCGACCTCACTGGCTGGTGGTGGTGCCGCTGGACATGTTGTAACGCGGGAGCCTCCTGGCCTTGGGGTGCTGTTTGCTATGCCAGGAACCCCCTCCTCTCCCAAGAGAGCCAGTTTCCCTTGGGGTTCGGGGGCCCTCCTCTCTGCACTGCAGCCCTGGTCTCTGCCATGGCCCTGCTCACCACGCAGGGGGCTGTGGTCGTGTGCCCTGTGCCCAGTGCCCCACTTCCAGGGTCCAGTGTGGGCCTGGGCAGCAGCCTGAGTGGGACAAGCGTGCCTTGGGGGGTCCGGAGGGCGAGGCAGCACAGGTATGACGGGGTTGGCCTGCAGCCTGGGGTGCGGGCTGGCTCACTCTCAAGGCTTCTTCGCTACACAGGTGGGTGGCGCAGAGCCACCCTGCCTGCTGCTTCTGCATCACCTAGAGGAGGTGAGATGCAAGGAGAGGAACCAGGACATGGCTTCCGTTCTCTGGGGCCCAGCTGGTTTATGACATACGAGTAACTTCCTTCCCTGCCCTTCCTTTTTTCAACAGACTCCCGACTCTGTGATGGAGTCACATGGATATGAGCAAAACAATCCCAGCCCTTGGGAGCCTGGGGCCTAGAGATAAAGGATGAAGAGGGGAGGGCAGAGGGAGGGGCTGGGTGTCAAGGAATTCCTAACCCAAAGGGGGACCCAGAGGTGGCCCTGGGAATGCCAGGAGGACAATGCTGTGGCCCTGAGCTCTCCCGGGACCAACTGGGGAGACAGTCTCAGGAACCATGCAGATGCAGGCCCAGGCCCAGGCCCAGGCCCAGGCCCAGGCCCAGGCCCTGGCCGCACAGGATGAGGTGGCGCTGAGCCCGGTGCAGGGATGTGCCAACGGGGCATGCTCAGGAGGGACCTGGGCATGGGTTTGTGCACGTCACTAAAGACCTGGGGTGAGTATGGGAGGATACTGAGCCTCCAGCCCCCAAAGCCACCTGCCTGCAACAGTCTGCCTGGCTCCTGGAATGATGCCCCCTCTGCACAGTTCACCAGTGGGCAGCCAGAGTGGCCGGAATGACAGTGCTGCCAGCTAACATCTGCCAGGGGCCCACAGGTGCCATCACTTCTTTGAGTACTCTTCCTGGATCACCTCTTTTCACCTCCCAACACCCTGTTGTCCCTGCTTTATACAGGTGGGGGCTGCAGCACAAGGGCCAACTAACTTGGCCAATGTCCCTCGACGGGGCTCATGACTACTGGCCCCTAAGTGCAACGGAAACCCCACCCATCCTGCATCTGCCAGCGGCCCGATTCAGCCTCTCTCGTGGCCCTGTTTATTTCTGTGCCCCCTGCGCTGGCACAGCCCTCACCTCCGTGCTCCTGGGCCTTGCTGGAGGGTGGCATTCCATTTTGCCCCGAGACCTCTCTAATCCAAGCCCCACAACACCATTGAGGTCTAGCCCTCTGTCTTTTGTGGTTCTAGAACACTTTTGCTGGCACCTGGCTTGTAAAAAGTCCATCCCCCCCCCCCCCCCCCATTTAAAATACTGACTTTCCTCTAGTTTACTAGTTTTAACTCATAAACTCAACTAACGCTTATTTATACGATTGCATTTTTCTAGGTCTGGACAAAATACTTGTTGAGTCCTGCTTGACTTCAGAAACCTCGTGGGAAAAAAAAAAGACAGCAAATCGCATCACTATTACAAAACTAAAGTGCATCACTGTTACAGAACTATTGTATTCATTGTTTAAAAATTTTCTACAAAGGAGAATCTGCTTTCTTTACTTCTGAAAAACTACTGGAATTTGTAAATGCATCCAGATCTTTTCATATAGATTACACACACACACACACACACACACACACTCACACACATGTATATATACACAAATATATATAATTTGTGTATATATACATATACAGTGGGGCCTTGACTTACGAGTTTGATTCGTTCCGTGACGGAGCTCGTAACTCAAATTACTCGTATGTCAAATCATAAAGTGAACGAGTGAGACACGTGATGCTGGGCTGATGTTGTGGCGTTCACTGTGACGTTCGCTGCGCCAACTAGCCGTGGGGTATCTGAAGCTGGCTCGTAACCCGAATTTTAGCTCCCAACTCAAAGCAAAAAAAATGGGCCGAGAGACGGCTCGTACTCGAAAAACTCGTTAGTCGGGACACTCGTAAGTCAAGGCCCCACTGTATAAATTTTATGGTAAAATGTACACAACATACAATTGACCATTCTACCCATGTTTAAGGGCACAGTTTTGTGGCATTGTTGAGCAACCACCACTTTCACAGGCTTGACTTTCTCACCAGATTGCAAGCTCCCTGAGGTCAGGAAGCCCACCCCTGCCCTCTCCGGTGTTGACACTGCCTCTGTGCACTGCCCAGCGGGCGGGCCGGCAAGTGTGATGGCAGAGGGAGGGGCTGGCTTCCTTCCGCCACCAGTGGGTGGTGCGGGCTGGGATGTGCGGCCTGAGGTCGGGAACCTTGGAAGAGGAAGCTAAAACACTCGGTGGAACACAGTGGGCAGCAGAGAAAGGCTGTAAAGGCAGGGGTGGCATCAGGCAATATCTCAAAGGAATTCTCAAAAGAGCTTGTGTGGAGGTTGATTGCTTTCAAAGTGGCATCTCTGTCTGTTTACCTCTTACAACTAAGCAGAAAGCACACGCTGTTGGGCCGTGTGGCCGAGGAAGAAACAGGCTCAGGGCCAGTGAGCAGCCCACCGCGGGTCACTAAGGACCAGACAGGGTCTGCCAATGCCCTTGTTATTCCAGTTCCATCTCGGGCGCAGGAAAAAGAGTGAGATCTGACAACAGGCCGGACATAAGCCTAAGGGCCAGGAGTGAGCTGGTGATGACCTCAGAGTGCCGGCTGGCCCTCGGGGCCTCCCCCGCCAAGTGGGAGCACAGCTCCACCCAAAGACCTGGCCCCAGGGAATGCCGTGAGGACTCGTGTCACTCAGGACGTGTGCCCGGCTGGGGCGGGGGGTGGGGGGGCTCTGGGGGGAGGAGTCCATCGCCATCCCTGGGCCCCACCCCGCCAGGCCCTGTACTAAAGCCTCTCCCTACTGCACAGAGAGGCTGAGGGCTCGCCTGAGGTCGCACAGCTGCAGGGGTGGGTCCCCTGTCCCGCACGTGTCCCGCCAAAGCTGCTGCGGCCCCGGCACTGCTTTCAGCAAAACCCCCGAAATGCACCTGGGGGAGGGCCGAGGGCGGCAGCAGGCATGGGTGTGGGCACTCGGGCAGAGACGCAGTCCTGCAAAGGTGCAGGGGCGGGGGTGGGGCGGGGATGGGGGGGTGTTAGGGGTCTGGGCAGGGGCCCGGCCCCAATGCTCTCCAGAGGGGAGCGGTGAGGTGGGGAGGGGCGCACTCCGGGCAAACGGGGGCGGCTCACCCCTCGGCACCCCAGTCCGCTTTGGCCCTCAGTCCCCACCTGGCCCTGGCTCGGCCACACCCCCGCCAGGCCGTCCTGCACCCTTGGCTCCCCAGCGCCCCCAGATCCCCCGCCTCAGGTTCCCCCGCAGCTCCTCCCGCTCTCCAGCCCCCCACTCGGCCCCCCGACCCTTCGAGTCTCTCTCTCTCGGCCTCCCCGCCTCCGCAGCACCCCGTCCCGCCCCTCCTGGTCCTCGGCGCCCCATTTCACCCCTGCGCCACGAGAGCCCCCACCCGAGCCTCGCCCCAGCGCCGCCAGCCCCGCGGCCCCGCGCCCCCGGCTCCCGCTCCCCCAGGGTCCCCGCGGGCCTCACCTGCCACTCAGCCGCTCGGCGTCCCGCGAGCCGCTCCGGCCGGCCCCGCCCACTTCCCGTCCCCCGGCGCCGCGGGCGTCGCGCAGGCGCAGTCGGGCCGGGGCGGGCGGGCGGGGGCGCGCTCTACTGCCCCCTGGCGGCCTCCAGACTCGTGACCGCGGCCCTTTCATTTCAGGGGAAGAGCGGCCCCTCCTGGGTTCTGGCCGCACTTCTCTGGCCTCCGATGGGGACAAGCAGCCCCTAGTTCACGCGCCCGGAGATTAAGCGGGTTGTGCGGTCAACAGCCGTTCAGTGGCAGAGCAGGGACGCGCGCCCAGACGGTCCAGGGCCCGCCATCCATCAGGGGAGGAGGCCCAGGCCACCATGCTTTTGGGGGCGATGTAAGTCTCTGCTGCTACGGCCATCACCACACACTTGCACAACTCTAGTAACAGTTCTGGAGGTCAGAAGTCCGCAAGGTCTCAACGGGCCGAGTTCCAGGTGTCAGCAGGTGCGTTCCTCCCTGGGGGCTCTAGTGGGCCTCGGTTTGCTCACCTTTCCAGCTTCTAAAGACTGCCCCTTACCGGCACCGGGCACCGGGCCAAGGACATGCCTGTGAGATGACTTGTGCCCCGTGGCTTCTGTCAACCGCTCCCTGTCTGCATTCCATCGCACCTCATCCCCTGGCTCCCGACTTTCATGCCGCCAAAGGAACCTCTCCGTGACGCCCACCCCACCCCACCCAGCCAGAGCCTCTTTGTTCTCACAAAGCTGTGCCCCTGGCCAGGTGGAGCAGCCCTGGGGGCCCCCACAGAGCTCAGCCTGGGTTTTCCTCCTGTCTCTGCCCCGACACCCTGACTGAACTCTCTCCTGGTCTCCAAATGTCTCCTGTTCTGGAACCCCCACCTTGAGCCTTCTGCTCCCCCCTCCTCCATCCGCAGGTGGTTATAACACCTCCTTCCCCCGGCTCTTCCACTCCCTGTGCCCACACGCATTGCCAGACTCACTGTAGGGATGGGATCATATTGGTCCTGGGCTTTCAAACCAGCACTGAGCTGTGACCTTGGGAAGGAAGTGCAAACCCTCGCCCCTATACTCCAGGCCACTTGCAATGGGGTGTCCACCTGATGTCCTGTCTACCTGGCCTACACCCCCATGTAAAATGTACTGCCCCACGGATCCCCTTTACCAACCAGATGAACCAGAATGCCCTAATGTAGCTGCATGTGTTTGTGTTACCAAAGGCCACACTTACCAGAAAGAGTGTTTCTTTTGTATTGCTCGGTGGGGCCTTGGTCCTCATGTTAAATGTGATAAATGTTGTGAACATGATTAATGGGTAACAGAGTATTACATTTGCTTATTCCTTTTTTTTTTTTTAAAAGAGTCATTTTTTAAAAATATATATTTTTATTGATTTCAAGAGAGGACGTGAGAGGGAGAGATAGAAACATTGATGATGAATCATTGATATGGGGATCGAGCGCTCAACCCGGGCATGTGCCCTTGCCTGGAATCGAACCTGAGACCCTTCAGTCCGCAGGCCGATGCTCTATCCGCTGAGCCAAACCAGCTAGGGCCATTTGCTTATTCTTTTCATTACTTAATTCTGAAAATCATTTCTCTTGGCATTTGAAGATGTATAATAAATAACATGCCTGTCTACGCTGCACCCAAATTTGTAATGAAATTGGGGGGAAAAAACTAATGGAGAATCAAATATTGCATTTATTAGAAATAAACATAATAATCATCATAGTAAGTTTCTGTCCTTTGAGTAAGCTTAAGACTGGACGCAGCTTTCTTCCCTGGCACCCCAGATATAAAAAGCTCCTGTGATCCATGAGCCCAACTGAGCTTTTTTTTTTTTTTTTTTTATTTTATTGATTTTTTACAGAGAGGAAAGGAGAGAGACAGAGAGTTAGAAACATCGATGAGAGAGAAACATCGATCAGCTGCCTCCTGCACATCTCCCACTGGGGATGTGCCCGCAACCCAGGCACATGCCCTTGACCGGAATCGAACCCGGGACCCCCCAGTCCGCAGGCCGACGCTCTATCCACTGAGCCAAACCGGTTTCGGCTGAGCTTTTTTTTTATAATATATTTTTGTTGATTTCAGAGAGGAGGGGAGCGGTAGAGAGAGACAGAAACAACAATGACGAGAGAATCACTGATCGGCTGCCTCCTGCATGCCCCTCATAGGGATCGAGCCTGCAACCCGGGCATGTGCCTTTGACGGGAACCAAAGCCGGGACCCTTCAGTCCGCAGCCCGACGCTCTATCCACTGATCCAAACCAGCCAGGGCCCGGCTGAGCTTTGTCTTGCCTAGACATATGATCAGTTCTGATGATGTTCAGGGACGGGTCTCCCCAGTTTGCCTACCTTTAAACAGGAGCGTGTTCAAGCTCTGTGGGCTTCAGGGTGCCTGTGGAGAACAGGCTGGTGGGAGGTAACACGAGTTCAGCATTTCCGAGGGAGATCAGGAGGAAACCAATGAATCTGAACCAGTTCCAAGAGCAGATTCCAAGAAGGAAACCCTAGAATTTCAAGGAGGAAGGACCTTGAACTACTGACACTCACCTCTCCGCTCCATTCTGGATGTCATTTCCTTTTCTATCCCAGCCTAGACCCCGTGGCCAAGCCAACCAGCCACTCACGGGTCAAGGTCTCCATCGTTCTTACCCATTTGTTTGCACAGCCTATTCAGTCTTGGACCATCCAGGGCCCTTTTTGTTGCGAGTGACAGGGACCAGATTCAATCTAGTTTAACCCAAAACAAGGAGGACATGATGACCCACAAGGGTCCGTGGGTGCTAACATCAGGCACAGCTGGCTCTAGCGGTCCCCACGATGCCCGCAGCTGTGTCGGCGTACCACCCCTCAAGCACCCCTCTGCTTGCTCCTGGTTCTGGGAACTGGCTGAGCAGTGTTTCTGGTCTGGACTGGCTCACCTGAAACTGAAGCTCTGCAAACATTTTCACTCGCATGCCTGGCAATTGGCTCAGCATCAGCTGGAAAATCAAATGCCTTAGCCATGTCTTTCTCCTGCTCCCACAGGCTAGTCTGAGCTGGTGCACCTGGTTACTGGGTTCTAAAAGCAGCAAGACAAAGGGCACGTCCCAGGAGGCACACCGTCTTTACCTTTGCTCACATCACGCTTGCCAATGTCTCCTTGGTCAAAGCAAGGCGTGCGCCTGCTTCGAGGGATGGAAAAATAGGACCCTCCTCTCAATGGAAGGAACTGTGAAGTCAGCCTTGCAGGGGGGAGTGGGGTGTCCGCGTACCAGGATGGGAAAAACTCCAGAGTACTGTTTCAGGTTTTATTGGGTGATCTCTGCACCCGGCAGGGAAAACAGCCCTGCTCTCCACCAGGGTCCTCCCTGCTGCCCCCTGGGAAACGTCTGCGGGCCCCACTTAGCCTTTACATACATATGTGGGCAAACAGGGATGTCCCACAGCCCACAGGCCTAGAGTTACCACCCCCTGGAGCAACCCCTGACCAGTGGAAAGACAGGAGCTAGTGAACGTGTTCCCCTCTCTCCCACCTCCCAACAGAGGCGCACCGCACACTGCTCCCCACGGGGTCCCCCGTGGGATCAGACCCAGGCGACACACAGCAGCGATCAACTCAGTATGCCTCGGGATGGTGTTTCCTCCTCGTCAATCGCAGCTGTCCCCTGCGATCATTGGCCGAAGCATGCAAGCCCTTGTCTCACGCTCCGCTTTTAGGAAAACTCCAGCTAAGGCAACACCGGACTTTATGACGCGAGAGGGAAGCTGGGAACCGTAGGAACAAAGGAAGAGCAAGAGATAAATGGTAGGGATCTGGATCAATGTGATGGCTTCTTTCTCCGTCACTTGGAGACTTGAAGGAAAAAAGAGCATACTGCAGCCCTAACCGGTTTGGCTCAGTGGCTACAGCGTCCGCCTGCGGACTCAAGGGTCCCAGGTTCAATTCCGGTTGGGGGCATGTACCTTGGTTGTGGGCACATCCCCAGTGTCGGGTGTGCAGATGTTTCTAACTCTCTGTCCCTTTCCCTTGCTCTCTGTAAAACAATCAATAAAATGTATTTTTTTTAAAAAAAAGAGCATACCGCAGTCTCAAGTCCTGTGAAGGTAGCACACGACAACCACAGCAGGGGAAGGGAAGAGGGTCTGTATGGCGGTGAGGCTTCTACCTTTTACTTAACCGGTAAAATATTAACTCTGATTAGAGTGTGAAACGAGGCGCATACTTTGCGCTCTTCCCAGAACAACTGAAAAATAGTTACACGTTCACTCAAGACGAGCCGGACAACTTCAACTGTCCTCTATCCAGTAGTTGTGGATAAAATAGCTAAAAGACTCACACACAGGTTTTTGTGAGAACATTAACTTTTATTTCTCTTGGCTAATTGCCTAGAATTGGAATTTTAGGGTCACATGTTAAGTATACCCCTCCCCGCCCGCCATCTTCAGGTGTCACCCAAGCGTGATCTGAGTGGCCTGGGCACTTATTATCTTAGCGGCTCTCCCCCTCCCTCCTCTCCAGTGCCCCCAGGGGCAAGGGCAGGAGGAATCACAGGTGGGCGGCTGGGCCAGGACCCCTGCCCCCTAGGACTCCCCCCAGAGCTCCCCCTCAGCCTGACACAGCACCTCGCCCTTTGGTGCTGCAGGGTTCCCCCCTCTAGGGCTGAAGAGGGCACTGGGACAGGGGCCTCTGTCAATAGGCTCCTGGCCCTCAAGCCAGTGCCTCCGGCCCTCAGCAGACCAGGCACCCGAGGTCGGGTGGATCCACACCTTTGCTGACCCTGGTTCTCCCGTGTCCTCTGCCCTCACCTCTCGCCCCAGTACCCCCATGCCTGGCACCTCTGCCACTGGCGCCCATTGTTCGCCCGGTGCATCCCCGCAACAGGCCCAGCAGGGAGCTCTTGGCTTTCGGCAGTGTTGGCTTTCAGCAGCTCGCTGGGAGCCCGCTCTCTGTCCAAGGACAGACCTCACCCCCATGCCCAGTGGGCTGTGGCCGGGCAGGCTCTGACCCTGCCTTCAGCCCTGCGGGGGTGGGGGGCCAGCATCACGTTGACTGGGCCCC